AGCCCATCTGGGTTTTCTGCCTCTCCCTGCACTTTACATTATTTGTTATCTTTGTTGTTTTTTTAATGTAATTCTAATCTGTGCAAAAATAAATAAATAAAATAAATAAATACCTCTTGCTAATATTTAAATTCCACACAAAGGGCTTTTAAATTTATAGATTCTATCATATATGACCTGTGTGAATTACCTGTATGACCAATGTGCCTGAATGTACCTTCTTTCTATCTAGTCTCCTTTGCACAAGCTTGTATTAGATAATATATCATGTTGCATCTGATCATTTTTTAACTGTCTGCCGTAAGACGACAAAAACCCACATTTAAGCTATAATCTATGAACAACACCTAGAGGATCCATAACATTGCATATGGTAGTATATTCCCACTTACACTGATAAATGGCCAGTGTGTGTTTTTTTCTGAAACAACTCTGCGTGTGTGTGTTAATACTACTGATGATGATGGTTTGGTGCTTTTTGTCTCTCTCTCTGTTCTTGGTGGATTCAGAGTCTGCAACACCCCCCCTGGAAAGGTTATAAGGAGATGCAAGGGCGATTTCTGTCCTTTACTGTTACAACTGTCTGTAGTAACAACAAGAGTGAACCGGTTGTCATCAACATCACATACCCAGGTGACTCATTTTGCTCACCATTACCCTTAATAAGACTTGATTTTGTTCTCAAAGTTTGAATGCTTTTTGAATAGACAAATAAATGCGGCTCGAGTTCCTCAGCCATATATGGGCTGCATTGATGGTTTGTTCGTTAAGATGTGTACATATTGTCTGTGTTCCTCCCAGAACTGGTGAAAGATCCACACTGCTACATTTACTCCTCCACACAAAGTCACTGCTCCTGGATCCCAGCCAGTAACGCTTCGAATCTCACTTTTTTCTACATGTAAGTGTGGGGTTTGTTTTTGTTTTTTGTCCCTTTTGTGCTCACACAATGAAGGACGTAAGGAAGCAGTGGAGTAGATTCAAACAGAGTAATTAGTAAACAGAAAATCACCCTTACACAGTGTATGTCAGTAAGCTGTATTGCAATATTTCCTGATACCTAGTGGTTAACGTTGATTTCATCACATAAGAGTCAGACTGCAACCTAATAGGCAATGAACTAGGGTTCAATCAAGGCCAAATTCCTTATGTTTAATGGCTCAGCTTTTTATCTGTCCAGGCTTCTGGTGGGTGTCAGTTTGAGTTTAGGCAGTGTTTGTTGACTATGTGAGTTCTTCTAAGCCCAAGCCATGTTTGGTAATGTCACGTTAATTTAAGAGCAAACTGTAACTGCATAACTAAAAACACATTAGCATACAGCTTAAAGCTGAAAAGCATATTCCATGTTCATCACCAAAAGCTTAAACTTGAATCATTACCTTTATCATTATAAAAACTGTAGGTCTGAAAATATTAATATACTCTTGTATAACATTCAGTCTATGTTTAAGAATTCAGTTAATTCATTCATAAATAATTCAGGTCTATTCCTGTAAACACGCCACATAATAGTGCATATATATATATAAGTCCCTCTAGTTTAAAGAAAGAGCAGTCTTGTCCTCAACATGAGGCTGCCAACACAGGATATAGTGTGTGTGTTAACAGACAGGCATATGATTGGTACTGATATCCTCATCAGACTCTCAGCAAGACAGAGAATAAGTGTATTTCCCAAAATGTCAAACTATTCCTTTAACTTGGCCTTATCTGAGTTGGTCTTATTTAAATGTCTGTTCCATTCATTTACCTCTACTTGTAGGATTTCAGGAATAGTGTGCGGCATGAAAGTAAATGACCTTTTTCTCCATCTTCCCAAGTTTAACAGATGAGAATTTCGAAGTAGTGGCTAACAGTCAGTTGAACCTTACCATTACACCTTTACGGGAGTGCTCATCGTATACCTTCACTAACGACGTCAGGACTGGTTGTGATCTGCAGAGCAATGTGCATCAGGCTATCCACACTGTATTTAATGCAATGGTGGACAACAAGCCTGCCAGGAACACCTTCAAGATTCAAGCACTCAACGGTAATGGTGGAAACATTATGTTGAAATACGTCGCTCTTCCCCATTCAGTCTCACAATTGTAAGAGAACTTGCTGCCTGTCCGTCTTCGGAAATCTTTTTAGCGGTTAGTGTGGGTGTGTGTCTGTCTGTCTGTGTGTGTGCACTTATGTATTGTGGGGTATGACACAATCCAAAATGTACAACTTGGAGAACACACAATGTCGCTATTTTAGGAGAGCAAAAACAAGTTCTTTCAGGGATTTTTAAGAGACTGTTTCAGTATTTTAGGACTGTGTATGTCTGGATTGGAGTTACTATCTCTCTGTCTTTCTCTGTACAGTGAGCCCTCCTGCACCTCACTTGAAAATCATTGACACTGGGGATACATTAAAAATGAACTGGTCTGCTCCTGACATCTTACCTCCCTCCTCCTGGAAGTTTCTACTTAAAGTCACCAAGTGCAATGAAGCATTGGTAAGAGACACAATGGTACAATATTTTGCTGTTTGTAACGTCTTTACATGGAAGCTTGGTCTTGTTTAGTCTGTTCATTCAATGGATGCAAACAATGGCTGTGCTCATTTGAATCTTACAAGCAACTGAATACCTAACTAACCTAACAACCCCCTACTGAATGTTTAAACACCACTGAAGTTCTAGCTTTGAAATATTTTACTTGTCAAACCATCTATACGAATTTGTGTGTTTTGGAGTCGATGAAACATTGGACACTTGAATGTCAAAATAGCATCTGTATGACATGTCTGATGTTGTGAAACGGTTGCAGTTCAGTTCATTCATAATAAGGTACGCAGTTACTCATAGGAGTCATGTTACAACAGCTATAGTTTGCTTCCACAGAATTTAGTCATATTGTCATATTCATTACTGTATCGCTATTACAATCATCCCTTCATTTTCTCACAGGTTCACGAATCTGACCGAACTTCATATGAACTGCACATAGATCCTTCCTGTCAGTACTGTGTCGCTATTAAAGCTGTGACAAAAGTTGAGAGAGGAGAGACAACATGGAGTAACAGCACTTGTTTTGGTATGGTCATCATCTTTCTCTCTCTCTCTGTTTTCTCTTGTTGAAATGTTTTTTTTTTACAAAATCAAACGTCCAGCAGTATAAAGCCAATATATGTAGTTTTTGTTTTGTTGCCATTTTGTGGTGTAAAACACTTGCTGTATTAGTCGCTCTCAGCTGATCTAATGTTGCTGCTGGTTTTGCGTACAGGTACAAACAAAGCTCCTAAAGCGTTGTATGCTTTCCTTATCATCCCATTGCTGTTGAGTGGCCTGGCAGCCCTGATGCTGGTTTGCTGCATAAAGTATGTAAAGTCTTTATCTCCTTGCTTGGCTCCTATTCATTTCACATGTCTTCTCATTTGCCTCTGATATTTAACTTTCTCTTTACAGATATAAGAAGGACATCTTCCCCGAAGTACCAGAACCACGGGATCTCGTCAGCGATATTGCTGACAACAACAATAAGGTGACTGTGTGTTTGTTCATAGGGGCGTTAGCATTAGAGTCTGCAACTACACCGCTACTTTTCAAAATGCCACACTATGTACTCACATGCTATCATTTTGTCCTTGTCTTTTTTTTTCCCCCCACAGAGCACTGTTTGCAACTTCTACGTCCCAGAAGAGGAAGAACAAAGCTGTAAGATAACTCTGGTGTTAGATCCTGAAAACAACAAACCTTAATCCGGACGCACCTCTGCAGTGGCAACAGCTGAAAGTCTCCCGATTACTGGCACAAAAAAAAAGAAAATGGGAGACTCACTTACTGTTTAGCTGATGAATCCAGGAGAGTCTTGGGAGGGTGCTTGGCACAGACTGACCGGAAATTCAGTTTCACAAGGCCTGCGTGCTGTTATGCAGACCGTTTAGTGAGTTACACACTGAATGGAACCCGAGGTCACCCCAAAGATGCTACCACATAAAGCTAAATGCACATTCATATCAATATTTTTATACACCTTCCATTTCCTTATCACCATGGTATTTTTACACACACCAGCATCACCATTTTTGCCATTGTTATCAACTGTATATTTGTTTAGAGTTGCACAAAAAGTCCACCATTACCAGCGCTACCACCAAAAACGTGTCCTCGATTAAATGAACACAAATGGGGACATCCTTTCCTTGGCCACCTTTTTTTTACCTGAGCATTAAGTGTTTTGTTGCACTAAATAAGCCTCCAGAGGTTTTCCTGAAAGTAGTGCCTGAAGCAGCACAGTGCAGTCGTTGTAACCCCAGCAGCAGAGCATCAGTGGAAATGAGCCGCCATTGGGTAGCTCAGTAGTACGGAGCAGCAAGAGAACTGTATAATCTGTACATCCAGGTGCTGAAGCACTTTGCAGACTATTGTAATAACTCATTCTTTTAGCATTTACCTTGCATTGCTACAACACTTGCTGCTCTCAGATTGCGTGAGGACGTGAGGAATTTCTACTTCTCTGTTTTATATCATTGCATTGGAGGCATCATCCTCGGCTTTGGGGACTTTTTTATTTATTTTTTTTAATCAAAGCAGCAGCCTCTGTGTTGAACTGAACAATCTACCCAAAAGAATAACCGAGGATCTGTCACCTGTAGCCCCCTGATAATGTCACTGCTGAGATGTTTTTTTTAATATTTTAATATTTTTTATGTTTTGTCTTTGTTTTGTTAACATTTGGGCAATGACACTAGATTAGCGTTCTAGGTTTACATCTGTTTACCTGTTGGTCAGTGGGCGTTGTCCCTGTCAAATGAACTTTTAGAGGTTTAGAAAATGGTTTAGTTGGCAACCAGATGAGGATACGAGGGTATAGACTGAATGTTAAGATAAGAGATTATAACTACCACAATTTGGACTTAATGAAAGATTTTGATTTACAGTACTCCATTGTCTGCTGGGAGAGCAAACAGCTCCGAGCCAATGTCATGGTTTAACTTACAACAGCAAGGATTTATTTTACTTCTGGTCTTAGGGCAGTTGTGAGAGCTGAAAAGCACCTGAAGGATATTCGATTTGCACTTTGGAGAACAAAGGAATATAATTATACTGAATGTACAATGAAGGAGTCCGGTATGAGTTCGAGGCTTAGATTTCTAAAAATCTCAAACTTTAGTTCCCATTATCTCCTTTTTCCTGTTGATGACTGAATGTGAAATGAATGATGTGTTAATGTAAAACACTGATGTATCAATGTTGTTGCTGTACAGTTTGAAATAACTAATTGAATATTAGCCAGACTGGCTAATTCTGGGGTGCTTTATATACTAAACGCATTTAAATAAACATTTTGAGTTGCCACGTCTGCACAGAAAATAAAGTTTCACTTTTTAATGTCACATTTCAAAACCAACCCTGTTTGTAAACATGAGGTATCTGGCATTCAGAGCTGCTGACCTAAACAGAGTAACATTATCGGAAAAAGTGCTCATTCACTCTCTTGCAAAGACTTTGATCATAAGCTTGATACATCTACACTGCCGAAACAGCTCTCTTAGGAACAAGCCAAATATTCATAAATATCATCAACATCTGTTGTATTGAGCAAAACAATCTACCAGTGGGTTAAGACAGTTTTGCTTGGCTAGAATTCATCTAGCCACTGAAAGACCCTAAAACTGGAAAAAAGTACAGAATTTTAAGCAAGCTGTGCAAACAATTTATTCAAACAGCATAATACAAATATGTCTTAGATTAAGTAACCAGACGCTTTTTATATTTGTAATTTTTTTATTTAAACAATGATAAACTAAACAGCTGCTTCATTTAGCACACTGGAACAAGACTACTTTCTCTTAAACTGAGAAGTTGTGCAAGTGGTCTTGAAATGAAGAAAAAAATCTTGTTCCTCTGCTGGGATATTATGTAAACTGTTGTAACTGCTTACTGGTTCAATCTAGCTCAATATTAGCTGTAATATCTTATTAAGGCAGAGTAAGAGATATTTTCTTAAAACCAGAATACTTTTCTAATGCGAAACATGCTTGAGAAGGTTATTCTTTTTAGACAAAAAAACAAGGCTTTTTTATTGCAGTGTACATGGCAAATATGTGGCTGGAACCAGTAGCCAGTTAGTTTAGCTTAGCATAAAGACTAGAAACAGCTAGTCTTGCTATGTCCAAAATGTGCCTTCTGGCACCTCTAAAGCCCTCTAATTTACATGTTATATCTTATTTGTTTAATCCACACAAAAATGTTAATGTAAAAAGGTTAATTCGCTGCTTTAATGTGTGTTTTACTGTCCAATAAAGAAGCAGTTCTTGATTTTAACTCTTTATGTTTCACTTTATGTTCACATTTGTCATCTCCGTACTCTCTCCTGTCTGTGTCCCTCTCTCTATTATGTAACACTGCGATGTAATCAACTACACTTCATCTTCCCCTTTGTCAGAATTAAAGTTTTTATTTGATTTTCTAATAAATTGTTTCTTTAACATCATTTTAAACTTAATTTCTCTATTCTTAAACTTATTTCAACATGTTTCAAAATCAATCTGGAATATCAATCTTCACTGAATCAGTATTCTCTTTTCCTTTAATGCTGAAGAATTTACTTGAACAGATTCTGTATTCCCCCCCTATTTATCTTTGTTCTTGCTGGATCTGGCTGGCTTCTTGATAACTATGGTGCCTCTGGTGTCACTTTGATATTCCGAAACAGATACAGCTTTCTGTTGACACTGCTGGAGTAATCTAAGCATTTTCCGCTGCCAGGTTTGGTAACGTGGTACGGATGTCTCTTCAAGGCATTAGCCTGGCTGGTGTTTCTCCTGATGCTCTGTGGGGCATTGAGCGATTTGCTAGGGGAATCTTAGGGAGCTAATATTCCTTAATGACTGTGCGGAAGGTTTCCTCTGGGAATAAAGTACAATAGTCATTTCAAGTTCTGGGCAGCAGTGTCCTGGTTGGTTTGATTCAGCCATGTTCCTGTTTCCACTTATTTTAGTGTTTGTTCCTCTGTCAATCACTTTTTCTTTTGTTTCTGATAAGGGAAGTCGTGGCAGGGTGTCTGCTACGCTATTGACTTTCCCACAATGTGTTCTATTTTCCAGTCATACGGTTGTAGTCTTTGAATTCTGGGCAGTGAGAGTATTGCCTTCTCTGGGTTGAATTTCACAGAAACGCTTTTTTTTTTTAACTTTCATGAGATTCCTTTTTTGCAGTATACATGGTAAATATATGGATGGAACCAGTAGCTTAGCTTAGCATGAAGGTTGGAAACTGGCTAGTCTTGTTATGTCCAAAGGTATAGCCTACTGGCACCTCTAAAGCCCTCTAATTTACATGTTATATCTGATTTGTTTAATCAATACAAAAACTGACATGTAAAAAACGTTCAATTCGCTGCTTTAATCGGTTCTCTGGGTTGAACATGTATATGAGAGGTTTGTGACCCGTTTGAAGTGTAAACTTGCCTCCCCATAAGTATGTCCTTAAATGTTCAACTGCCTATACACATCCTAGAGCTTCCTGCTTTACGGGTAGTTATTTTCAGTGGCAGTCTTATAGCAGGACTATCCTGCTGGACTTGCATTGCTATTTTCATTTCCTCTAATGCTTTTTATGTCCCTTATACCACCCCCACTCTTGGCTTCATCAGAAAGCCACAAGTGTTGAGGAACAAGCGCAGCTGTGCATGTCCGCAGTTCTCGGTGCATTACAGACTGCTTTGTCTCTGTTCAAGGTTAGATTTTTTTTGTTAAAATAAGTAGCTACTACATTCTGACAGGCATGGCTGATATAAAGTGTTTAGTCAGTAACATCGGTCTCCCAGTCCCTCCTTTCTGCAGTAAACAGAGAATGCATTTTCTGGTATCCCGCTCTCACTTTATCCAATCAGGAGACCCCAACCAAAAGGCGGTCCTCAAGGGCAGACAGGAGAATTCCAGTGCTAAACTGAAATGTAAAAAGCACCATATTGTGGTTTTACTCAGGATTATGTGCTGGGCTATTTTGTGGCCGGGTGATGAAGTGAATTTTAGAGGAGCTGGTTGGCAGATTGCGTTACCTTTTGTAACAGCCAGGCTAACTGTTTTATCTTTATATAAGCGTCATATTCACTGTAGAAACATAAGAGTGGTGTCAATCTTCCTTCCTGCTGCTGTCAGACTGTTTAACAACCAG